CGGTAACTACTCAGTTCTGAGTAGCATTGTAGAGGCTCCCGATACTCCACCGGATGAGAGTTCCCTAAGTGAGATCTCTCTCCATGCATCCAGACAAATTACTAGTACACCCGCACCAGTTGTACAGGCAGACGCAGCTGAATCACAATCATCAAGTCATGATGATTGCCTGCTGTCTAGCGGCATTGAAATGACTTCCGAGATTCAGCAAAGCGAGGGATCACAAAGGATGACCCTCAGAGAAGCGTCGCCGATGGTAACAACTGAGAACTGTGCTAGGTTTGCTGTAGATGAGGTGGAACAAGTGACACCAAGCCTCGGTGATTACTCTGTTCAGAGTAGTACAGTAGAGGCTCTTGTTTCACCGGATGAGAGTTCCGTAGATGAGACCTCTCATCTTACATCCAGACAAACCACTAGCTTATCCGCTGAGACTGCGACACCAGTTGTACTGACTGACGCGGCAGAATCTTTAACATCGAGTCATGATGATAGCCTGCTTTCGAGCGGCATAGAAATGACTTCCGAGATTCTGCCAAATGAAGAGCCGGAAAGTACGGTTCTCATTGAAGCGTCGTCCATAGAAACAACTGAGATTGGCACTAGGTTTGCCGTAGATGAGGTGGAACAAGTACCATCAAGCCTGGGCAGCTACACTGACTTGAGTAGCTTAACACAGGTTCTCGAAGTTCCACCGGTTCAGAGTCTCATGAATGAGTTCTCTGGCCTAACATCCGGACAAACCTTTAGTACACCCACTGTTGAGGATCAAGGTAGAGCTATAACATCTAGAGGGGCGGGTAGTCTTCTATTGAATGACGCTGCCCTTACTACCGAAGCTCAACCGCGTAGGAGTGCTAGATTACTCCGATCCTCGACGCGAACCAGGCGCTCACCTGAAAGGCCCTCTGAGCCTGAATGCTCAGAACCGCAGAAGAGAGCGCCGCAAGGGTGTACTGTGGAGTGCCGACGAATTAACAAAGCTCGCAGAACTGGTCGAGAGACACAGAATAGCGAGCGGTCGCATAATGTGGGCTGACGTGGTTACGGCCTGGGAAAGCTCACGAACAAGCGGAGACCCAGAAAGAACAGAAGCGGCCCTTAAAGCTGCTTACGCGAACCTTGCCAGGCGTACTGAGCGAGGAACGGTGAGAAATGCCCCACCAGCAGAAAATACGCTGGAGGAGGAAAGTCAACCCGCTACTACAGAAACTGACCTGATTAACCAGGACAGTCAGCAGGGTGGAGTGGAGCCTGTTGAGCATATCGAGGAACGGTCAACTAGTCCTAATGGTGACTCGGAAACGAGCCAACCTGATAGGACTCTCGGCGATAAGCTCAGAGAGCGATTCGATGCCTATTACAAGGCAGCCAAAGAGTCGCATGACAGGCAACCAATAAGAAGGCCCAAAGGAGAAATACCTGAGGGCATGCTCCAGCTCGCAAATGAAATCCTTTCAGAGAAGCTGGGGCACACTAACTCCACCAATAAGCGCACACTGACAGCTTTGAACGCTGCAGTGTATGCTGTCGCCAAAGCCATCACAACGATCCTGTTGGACGGCGAGGCTGAAAAAGCGGGTAAAACTCACCAGAAACTGAGAGAGGCGAAAGCACTGAGAGACACCCTCGTGAGTGTCGTCTCGACGCTATCGCACGAACTCAGGAGAAGAAGTGGAAATGCCCCGGGACCTCCTAGTGAGCAGTACCGGGTCATTTCCCGAATACAAAGAGTCAATACAACCGTGGACATTCAGCGACTCCGGATAAGGTTCAAGGATCAGCTGAAGGTTGTAAACTCTGAAATCAAAACAATAGAGCAAGCCCTAAGACGCCAGCGAGAAAGACAGCGGGGATACCCTGCTGTAGCTAGGGAACCACGCGAAGGGGAAGCTGATGTACCGGTTGCGGAAGTGCGCGAGCACTGGAAATCTATCATTGGAGAATCGCAACCTTTCCATCCGTCAGACGACCTTCAAGCGTGGTCTCGCTCGGTGCAAAGAGGCGAAAATAGAGCCGCTGTAGACCTGTCCGAGGAAACTTGGGCGAAGATATTCGCTAAGATAAAACCTTGGAAAGCAACAGGTCCAGACGGCATACAGGGCTTCTGGTGGAAGAAAATACCAGAGGCAAGAGAGAGGCTAAAATCGTGGTGCCTTGATGCGCTACGTA